AAATGGTTAATCAAACAGTCCAATTATCGTAAGTTGAATTGCCGCAATTTGTAATAAGAACACAGTAAATAACACAAGATATGTTGATGGAGAAACCCCAAGTGGGTAAAAACTCCTGAACCAAATCATTTACCTCAACTATAGATAATGATTGTTACAGTTCAATGTTGCCTAGCCAACTCCACTAGATTTTCCAATCTACTTCCTGTAATCTCCAAGGTACTGTTGTCTCCTCCAGTTTCTCTATCTTATACAATTGTCTCTTCCAAGTAGATACCCAAGAATTACCTATTCTTGTTCTCATTCCTGCGTTGTAGTCCAACCTTTCTCAATCTTTAGTAACCTCTGAAGTTCCAATTGAGAAAATACCTTCCTTGTTGTACAAAGAAAGTTGGTGTTTTAGATTCTGGAACCTTGATGTTTTACCCAATTTGTGATTGTAGGATCTCAAGAATGGATGATTTGAATCCTGGGTTGAATATGTTCTTGGATCACCAAAGGATGTTATGAATATGATAGAAAGTAGAGGTATAATGAACAACCACGCATAAAATTGTATAATGCTTGTGTATATCTGTGTAAAATTTTTCAAAATCATGAATTAGGGTTGGCCAAATAATACCGTTGCTCGAGAGACGCTCTAGCGAAAAGCGAGAGATAGTGTTTTGCTTGAGCGAAGTCCTGGCGACAAGCTAACGAAGTCCATTATGTTTTTGTCGTTCAAGCTGTGTCTTGGTGAGAGGCGAGCGAAAATGTAGTGTTTCTTCTTTGTTCCAAACTCGATCTCTAACCTTAAGCTACCTTTATCCAGCTATACAATATTGCTCCTAACTCCTTGACTTTTACACATTTAATTTAGTCTTTTTTGTTGTCAATTACAATATAAAACCTAAAACAAGTGGTTGTGATGATTTTGTATAAAGTATTTGTATGGCTTGAATTGGTGTTGCAAGTTGGCGGATTTTTGGACGAGAAGGACGAAGGATGTTAGGTCAAAGGACGAACGAATTACCCTAATGCCAAATTGATGCAGGAACATACAAATTGATAAAGAACAATAAGAAGAAAGTAGATCAAAGGAAAGAATTGAGGGCAAGAGAAATAGTTTTATTCATATAATTCAGCTGTGTTTATAAACATTGCCCTAAGTTCCTTTATATAGAGAAGAACTTTGAAATTAAATAAACTTCCTATCTAATCAAACTTGAAATAAAAGATAATATTGTCAAAATCAAACTCTATAATTTAGATAAACTCGAAATCTACTAATTATTACTAGTCTTCCACCTTGAATAGACTTTTGTTGTTTCCTTGTTGCATCACTTTTTATGGACAACTTTGATTGGTTTAAAAAGGAGTTTTGCAGATTTATATGTTTAATTGTACCCATTTAAATTCCAACTTCTGTTTTAAGTACGTACTAATCACTTTGCACTTCTAGTTTTCTGGATTAGAAGTTTTTTCTTTTTTAGATAAAAGAAAGGGCTTATACGCAGAGGTCTTTGCTTCTTGTGGTGGCGTGTAATGAAGACCTACTAAAGATGAATGTTTACATCGAGGTCTAATTATAGGAAACACGTAATTGCTTTAGATGTATAATTAAGGATTCTAGGGCCCTAGTGGTTAAATAGAGCTTTATTTTTATTTTTTATTTTTTTTTATGCATTACAACCATTTGATCATATACAAATGGCTGTAATAGTACATAGATGATTTTAGTGCTTGAACTTACAAGACATTTACGACTTGTTCTCTTTGCCGTTCAATTTTTAATTTTCGAAAATACTGAAAACACAATTACTTATCTATTTTCAGAAGCGAATTTTCAAGAACGAGTTTAAAATTTACAAAGAAAATGAAAAACACCAAAAAAATAGTTTTGGCTGTTTTCAATTCAACCAAGCTAAAACTTAAAAAACGTGGAAAATGTCCAGTTTTGCCAATAGCAGGATAGCTTAGTTGGTTAAGTCACGGATTTTCTGAAGGTCATGAGTTCGATTCTGTTTCACCGCAATTCAATACGAAGGAATTTTCTTTTTATATGCACAGTACAAAATTTTTCAAATAAATTGGTGGATGACTGAGATTCGAACTCGAGTTACCAGCATGGAATTCAATGCCTTAACCACAACAATACAAAAAAACCTACTGTAAACCGTGTTGCTATTTGACCTTATCGAGATAGATAGGGCTTTAGTTCGCTTTTACAAATAGAAGAGGTACAAGCCAGTCCCCGGGCTTTCTACCTTCTCAACTAGAGGAAGGAGATATCAATTCCATTCGCTGATTAACCAAATAGGTTGGTTTTGTCCTTGCCCCCCCGCCCCCCCCCCCGTCCTTTCTTTCTATCGGTCCCTTTCAGCAATCCCCTCTTCCTTCGAGTTAGGATTAGGATTTCGATTAGCCTTTAAGCATTATTTATCTAGATGAAATTTTGACTAATCTTAATAAAACCTTCTTATTGCTCAGTGGGGCACCTTACGAGGACTCTTTTATTTGTACTTGGTTGACCAATGGTTCTCTCTTTTTCTTATGTAAAAAAACCACTCGTATATCGGAAACATTTCAAAACAATCCTTAGACTTCTACAGATGCTTCATTGGCTTCTTATTCATCTAAAAGAGTGTGGGATAATGAAATAGATCGGTCTTCCTGCTTCATTAGTACAAGATTCCCATCATCGCTTCTTCCGTTCTTTGGCGATGCCCAAGATCGCAATGAATTCCACCTTTACTCTTAATGCAACCACTGATTGACCAGAGACCTAAAAGCTCAAAAACAGAGGAAGGGCCGAAAAGTAGCCTTAATCTTATATAAGATACCAATGGAAGCTCCTGCTCAAGAGTTCAAACAGACAAAAGAGAGTCCTGCTACTGTAAAAAGTCCACCTGGAATGTAAGCAAATAAATCATGTTTATTGCTCAACTGTACTTTGGCTATCTTACGTAGAGCTGGCAGCCACTTTTCTTTTTCTTAAAAGTAAAAGAACAATATATATATTGGATAATCAGTTTTTCAAAATTAGAAAGTAAATGCATTTTTCTTTTTCTTGTTTATCTTTTTTTTTTTTTTTAAACAATTTTTCAAAATGACAAAAAAAATGCGTTTTTAGCAATCTCAAAATGGATACTCAAAACACAAAATCCAAAATGAATTCACAACTTATAACTAAAAACTAAAACACGAAGAGAATAGCCCCTTAATGTTTGATGAAAGGACAAATGATTCGCCAGTTATCCTTTTATACTCCTTCAAGACACATTAATTCCTGACTTCTCGTTCGGTCTTTGTTCTGATCCGCAATCATGGAAATTTTCAAACTTGATAGGAAATATTACATCTTGCGTATTGCATATGAAATGACATTTGAGGTCCAGTCATGCTGCAACAAGCTCGTGTTCTGCAGCTAGATTATGTGAAGCATGTTTGGAAGACTTGAGTTGCAAAAGAAACAACTTTTGTTTTCTATTTGCTATTAGTGCTTAGGCATCACTCACAATGATGAACTGCGTTTCTCTTGCCTAAGCTGCAATGCGTGATAATTTTTTCTTCTTTTTTGCATGACAATAAAATCTGTACAAGATGGGTTTAACGATTTAACTAAGTAATTCATCATCAATCATTAGTTTGATGTCGACAAAATTGATAATCAATCAACATTTTCATATTTTACATGCAGAAATTAGATGCTTATGTAAAGCAAGTTTTCTTTGTAACTTTATATCATCTACATCATACAGTCCTTCTCCCTTTGGGTGATAATCAAGCTGTATTATGAATCACCATTATGTCAAAATCTTGTTTGAGGTGTCTAAACTTGGATGACTTTTTCTCTTCTTTCGTCTTGGGGAGGTGGAGATGGAGAGTCCCTTAACTTTTTTTTGGACGTATGATTCGAATCAATATGGTGATTATATATATATAATTTTTTTTAATTTTATTTATTTATTTATTTATTTTTCCCTTTGCAGGCTGAGAGTGCTATTGCGGCTCTTAACTGCAGTGGTGCAGTCTTAGGATCACTGCCGATAAGGTTGATTTCCGCTGTTTATTACTGGATCCATTCACTATATGCTTCTTTTATCGTAAAGTGCCTAATCTCTTGATCATTTGCATTTTTGCAGGGTAAGCCCGTCGAAGACCCCTGTTCGACCACGATCACCTTGCCAATCCATGCACTGAACTGCTTGTGGAGTTTCTCTTGAACTGGTCTTCTGATCAAGCACTCTCCTTGAGTACGTACATAAATAGATACCAGTACTTTGTGGTATTTATGTTTTTATTTTCTCCGTTGCATCTCAGCTGGGACGGTTTCATCTGCAAGGGATAATTATGGTCGCCTTTTTAGCTTGTAGAGTAGGATCCTTTTTGAGGCTTAAACTTGGTTATGCAATTATGTTGAGTACTGGAAAGGCAGTGCCTCGAAGTAATATACTGTTCCTTGCTTCCAACTTCTTAAGTTAAAAATTTAGTTGCAAATTTCTGTCTTTTCTATGCCAAGTCATTTGTTATGAATGTCTCTATTTTCTTCTTTTTACCGGGTTTATGTTGCTGGGGGCATGGTTGATTTATTGAGTATTGAGAAATGATTTTGTGACGATGGATTGATTTTCTGCACATCCTTTTTTTCTCTGATATGGCGGTCCAAGGTTGATACATATGGCATACGTATTGGAGTTGACTGATCTACCGGTTTTTTTTTTAGTATAATCTGTTTGTAAACTTCGGAGTTGAAATTTTTGATGTTTACTGGTGGGCTGTTTAGTAAAAGTATGTTTATTTGACTCAGGTTTTTAGGGTAGATAGCCTTTTTTAACTTGAAAACATCGTATGCTAATGCAACAGAAGTCCCGAAAATCACAAACTACTGAAAGTAATGTGGCATAACAATGGCTATAATTATACTTTTCTTGCTCTGTTGAACAAGATTAATTATTTTGAGAGTGAACCATCTGGCATCTTAGACAAACTCGGTCATCGCAACTCCCTGTTATAGAACTTTTTTGGTCCAGACGGGGCCAGCCTCCAATTGAGGATTCTTATTTGTATATAAAAAATATACGTAATGGATTACATAATATAATGTGGAGGGAAAAGATTTAATGAAAAAGTTGATTGTATTTTAAACTGACAAATGGTAAAGTGCTATATGATATTATGTGATCCATTATGTAAATCTTTATGTACGTGTAGCCAGATAGGAGCGGACTTAGACAGTTTGAACTGTGGGGTCAAAAATGAATTTTTTTTTCGAACAACGTATTATTAATGAAAATAAGATCATATGTTACTACAATAGGATTTGGATTTGAACTTTTTGGGCATTGGGATAGAGAAATTAATTGGGTTGGTTCACTACTTTGGCAGAAAATTACATTTTAAGCAAGTAAAAAAAAAGGGAAAATCCAAAAATATGTGAGGTCATTTGACCCCACATAACCCCATGTGAGTCCGCCCCTGTAGCCAAATCTTTCAATTGACTACCATCTCGGCTAGGTCATTGGAGGTGGGCAGGCCCAACGGTTTAAGAATTATGCGCTCTTGTACATAATGAAATTATATAATAGCTTACATACAAATGAAGTGTTAAAAAGATAGTGAAAAATCTTTATTTAATTTTATTTATTTTTTTAAAAGAAATTTTGACCCAATCATAACTCACTACATTTTATATATATATATATATATAGCACAAATGAAGGTTCAAGATTCCGTCACGGTGTAATTTGTTCTTTTCCTATACATTTCACCTTCCAATTTCCTGTCTCCATTATTTATATATCTGTAGATAACCCAATTTTTTATGCTCACGTATGTATTTTGTAAATTGGTTGATTTTCTATTTGTGTAGAAAGTATATTCAATTGCTGAGCTAAAATCGTGTTTATTTATTTATTATTATTATTATTTTTAATGTAATTGTTGATTTAGTGACACAATTAAGAGCCTGTTTAGAAGAAATTTTCAGCCACACATTAATGGATCAATAATTTTTTGTCCAAAAATCATTTTCACTCGAAAAATTCTCTCTTTAAACAAGTCTAAAAAATAATTCTCACTTTAAATAAGTCTAATAAATCGTTTAAGGGAGAATCAAGATAAAGTTCTCACTTTTGATTATTAGATTATAACAGGGTGAGAGAGTAGGAATGTTGAATAGCACGTACTAAATGAACAAATTATAGTCCTGTTTGGCCTCCATTTTGTAGGAAAAAAAAATGGGTGGAATAGTTTTTTTTTTTTTTTTGAAAAATGAGTGGTGGAAAAAAAAAAAGTTTTTTACTTACGTGTAATATTATTTTATGAAAAATTGTGTGGTGAAAATAAGAGATAGAAAAATGAAATGTAATAGAATGAAAATTAATGAGGACCAAACCAGTATTACATTTATGGCTGTACACTTCCAATAAGACTCTTGCAATTTGTTCCTTTTTTTTTCTTTGTTTCTTCTATTCTTGACAGTATAAGAAATTCTAAAAAGATGCTTATATTCACAGCAATGTATCAAGAATAATGTAATGTAGCGTCTTGGTACTAGCGTTAGTCTGTGTTAAATTCACTAATGGTCACCTAATGTTATACTTAGTGTCATCGTGGTTACTCAATTTGATTTTGTTTCATTATGGCCTTCTAACTTTATATTTAGTATCACCATGATCATCCAATTTGATTTTATTTCGTTGTAGTCACCCAATTTCGTTCAACGTTTCACTATGATCACCCAACTTCTTTTTACCATTTTCACTAATTTTAAAAAGAGTAAAATTGTAACTTTGCATTATATATAAAATAAATTAAAAAAGCAAAAATAATTTATTATTTAAAAAAGTTCTTATTTTTTTTAAGTAATGTTTTATTAAATTAAGTTTCTATTTTATTTTAAAAACTTTTTTAAATAGGTTTTTATTTTATTTTATTTTTCAAAGTAACCTTTTTTAAAAATAACTTTTTATTTCATTTTATTTTTCTAAGAAACATTTTCTTAAAATAAATTTTTATTTTACTTTTAAATTTTTTTCTTATAATATAAGTTTTTATTTTATTTTTAAAACGTTTTTTCTAAAATAGTTTTTATTTTATTTTTTAAAATTCATTTTATATATAATGCAAAGTTACCGTTTTATCTCTTTTAAAATTAGTGAAAATGATAAAAAGGAATTTGGTGTCTATAGTGAAATGCTATATGAAATTGGGTAGTCATGGTAAAACGTTTTATGAAATTGGATGCCCATGATACAATAAAATCAAATTAGATGACCATGATGACACTAAATACAAAATTGAGTGGCCATTAATGGATTTAACAAGTTTTTAAATAATAGACCATTTTAAATGAGATTCATCATTGCTAAGCCCATGTTTGATTTTCATTATTCCAAGAATCATTTTTTCTAAAATTTATTTTTAACTTAACATTTTTACAATAAAATATTTTAACTGAAATTTCAATTTTTTAACCACACATTTTCCAAAATATCACTATTACGAAACTCAGTTTGAGGAAACTCAAATGTTCATTTTCGTATGTGTTAGCATCCAAATTATTTTATTATCCCTAAAAGATATCTCGCACGTGTTTCAAAAAAAAAAATATTATTGATGTTTTTCTTTGTTCATCGTAGTAGGTTGTTTAGTTTCTTTTGAATAAATTTTCACTTTTGTTGAGAGTTCATATTTTTCGCGCCTATACGTTTTCGCTTTTTTAACCTTTTCAATGAAACGACAGGATATCTCCATATACATCAGTTTTTATTTATTTATATTTTTTTTGGTACCAAAATAAATATTATTCTTGAAAAGGACCTTGGAGTTATGCTCACAACATATAGACTAGGCTGAGTTGCATTACTTGGCAGCAGTAGGGGCGGAGCCATATACAGTTGAGTGTAGGCATTGGCCTGCGCTCAACTT